TTTAGTATTTTCGGATGTTTTATGGCTTAGGAACATCTTCCTAAGGTATTTGTAATAGTCTTCTTTTATAGTAGTGATTTGATTCTCCTTCGTCCATGGATGTAGGTCAAGGTTAATTGATCGAACCATATAAATCTGGTATTTTTGTCGCTTTTATTCTTTTCGCTTTATTATCTTTGTTGGGTTGTCAAAATTATCCTTTGGTAAATTTCTTGGGGCTAGCTCTAACAGACTGGTATTAGAGTCTGGTTTCGGGATCTTTTGGCAACGATGACAATAACAAAGATTGTTGTCGAGAAATTCGATAGAAATGTCAACTTCGGCATGTGGCAACTCAAGATGGAGGCCATTCTGGTTCAAGACGGAGTTGATTTGGCACTATAGAGAGCTGAGAACATTCCAGATGGTACGTCAAAGGAAGATTTTGCGGGTATGGATAAGAAGGCCCGATCCAATATTATTCTAAATCTCTCTAACGAGGTTTTATGGGAGGTAGCTACGGAGACTACGGCTAAGAGCATGTGGGACAAATTTAAAGCCTTGTATATGAAGAGGACAGTGGAGAATCGTCTCTACTTGAAGCAGAGTTTGTATATGCTTCGAATGACTGAAGGTACATCTATACTCTCATATCTTGATAAATTTGATTCCTTGGTTATGGATTTGGAGAATATAGATGCAAAAATTGATGATAAGGATAAGGCCATGTTACTTTTGTGTTCTTTTCCCCAATCTTTTAAGCATTTCCGTGATACTATGATTTATGGAAAAGAAACAATTTCATATCAGGAAATTAAATCTGCACTAAAATCTAAGGAGCAGATAGACAGAGATATCATTAGGGAAAGTAGAGGGAATTAGGCTGAGGGTCTAGTTGTCAAGGGTAGAATGAATAAAAGAGAATTTGACAGTAGTAGATCTAAATCTAGATCTAAATCCAGCAATAGAAATTTGGAATGCAAATATTGTCATAAAATAGGGTACATTAAGACTGATTGCTTTAAATTGAAAAATAAATTAAAGCAAAAGGAAAAAATTGTTGAGAAAACTACTGAGTCCGCTGAAGCTAGTGTAGTAACTGATGAGAATGTTGGAAATATTTTCTCTGCTACTAATGATAGGACGAGGTCTAAAAATGAATGGATTTTAGATTCGAGTTGTTCTTATCACATATGTCCTAATAGAGATTTGTTTTCCACATATGAATTTTGTAATGGTGGAATTATTTTGATGGGCAATAATGTAGCATATGATGTTGTTGGTAGAGGAACAATCCGAATTAAAATACATGATGGTATTGTGAGGACGCTCACTAATGTTAGACATGTTCCTGATTTAAAAAAGAATCTCATCTCTTTAGGCACCCTAGAGGCTCTTGGGTGTAAATACACAGCTGAAGATGGAGTTATGAAAGTTTCTAGAAGTGCTATTGTTGTTGTGCTATTGTTGTTATGAAAGATTGTAGGTCTGGTAGCTTATATATTTTGTAGGAAACTATTATCACAGGCTCAGTTGCATTCTCGTCATCATCATTGTCTGATTCTAACATCACCAAATTATGATATATGCGTTTGGGTCATATGAGCGAAAAAGGTTTGAGCATATTGAGCAAAAGGGGTCTACTTTGTGGACAGAGTACTGGGCCACTGGATTTTTGTGAACACTGCATTTTTGGAAAGCAGAAAAGAGTCAGCTTCAATTCTCTAGCAGTTCACAAAACGAAAGGTACTCTTGACTATATTCATTCAGACATTTGGGGTCCAGCTCATGTTTAGTCTAAGGGTGGTGCCAGGTATATGCTGACTTTCATTGATGATTATTTTAGAAAAGTTTGGGTTTATTTTTTGAAGCATAAAAATAATATTTTTCTAACCTTTAAATAATGGAAGGCTTTGATTGAGAAGCAAATAGGTAAACAGATTAAGCGGCTTCGAACAGATAATAGCATGGAATTTTATGAATGTGACTTTAATGAATTCTGTAAAAATGAAGGAATCGTTCGGCATCGCACTGTTAAGATGATGCCTCAACAAAATGGTGTGGCCGAACGTATGAACAGAACACTCTTGGAGAGAGCAAGGTGTATGATCTCAAATGCAGGATTGACAAAGGACTTTTGGGCAAAGGCGATTAATATGACCTGTTACGTTGTCAACCGCGCTCCTTCTGCAGCACTTAACTTTAAAACTCCGGAGGAAGTTTGGTCAGGTACTCCTGCTGATTACTCTGATTTAAAAATTTTTGGGTATCCAGCATACATGCATATAAATGAAAGAAAATTAGAGCCTCGAGCTAAAAAGTGCATTTTCCTTGGGTATGCTTTTGGGGTGAAAGGATACAGATTATGATGTTCTAATTCCAAATTCCCAAAATTTATAATCAGTAGAGATGTTACTTTTGATGAATTGTCTATGTTATCTTTTAAAGAAGAATATACTAGTTGTACAAATGATAGTGCGTAGAAGCAGGTGGAGTTTGAGATTGGTAGTTCTAATTCTTTTCAGTCTAACTCTTATATTTAAAGAATGCCGGTAGATGGTCCCGAGTCTACTAACGAAGATGATCTAGAGGAAAAGCAATATTCCATAGCCAAGGATAGACCACAGAGAGATATTCGACTACCACAAAGATATGCAAATTTGGTTGCATATGCTTTATCTGTTGTAGAAGAAACAAGTGAAGTTTGTGAGCCTATTACCTGCTCAGATGTAGTTTCTTATGATAATTCCGCTAAGTGATTGATTACGATGAATGAAGAAATTGAATCTCTCCATCGGAATAGAACTTGGGATCTTGTGAAGCCGCCTTCGGGTAAGAAAATTGTTGGATGCAAATGAGATACATGGGATACTATTGCTGAGGGAAAGGTCCTTGTTCATAAAATTCATACGAAGGACAATCCAACTGATATGCTTACGAAGCCAGTTCCGGTTTAGAAGTTCAAGCAGTGCTTAGACTTGGTTGGTGTTCATTATTGGTGATTGCCCGTTGGGGCTTTTATGAAGAAGGTGGAGCAAGTTTTGTTGGGACATGCCAAGGTGGAGATTTATTAGTTTGGCAAGTCCCATAGTCCCACATCGGGAAAATCAGGCTTGTTATCTCCTATTGGAACTATAAATAAGGGCTTAAGCTTTGAAGTCAGATGCACCATAAGTAGCATCATAAGAAAAACCTAAGTGTTTGCTTTGGTTTTAAGTCCACACTCAGTTAAATAATTTGGGTTTTTTCTTGTTTAGTATTTTCGGGTGTTTTATGGCCTAGGAACATCTTCCTAAGGCATTTGTAATAGTCTCTTTTATAGTAGTGATTTACTTCTCCTTCATCCGTGGATAGGGTCAAGGTTAATTGACCGAACCACGTAAATATGGTATTCTTGTCGCTTTTATTCTTTTCGCTTTATTATCTTTGTTGGGTTGCTAAAATTACCCTTTAGTAAATTTCTTGGGGCTAGCTCTAACAATTTTGGATTAAACAAGTTCTCAAGTCCGTCTAATCAAGTTTTTCAAAATTTGGATTAAACAAGTTCTTCTAATCAAGTTTTTCAAAATTTGGATTAAACAAGTTCTCAAGTTCGTCTAATCTAAGCAGGCATCGATTTTACAGTTTTTCAAAATTTTGACCTTGCTTCTTTGATGTATAGGGTTGTTCTCTCCGTTCTTGATGCATATTTCCTTGTTGCATTTTATTTTTTTCTAAGCCATTTTGAATTTGATAGACTAGGAGTTTATTGTGGAGCCTTTTTCAGGACTTGAGGGAATGCTGGTTTAAAATTGATGCATACTTATGTGATGTCTGGTGTCTTATTTTGAAAAGTTGTGCCAGATGATCAACTTATGTTGTTCGTTTTATGGAGAGTGCCATGTCCCTGTATAAGCAGCAAATTGAAAGGTCGAGAGTGAAGATCCATGTGTCACCACCAGTCTGTTCGGACAAAATGAAAGGGTCTCCGGAAGCTTCCGACAATGAGAAACTACTGCTTCATGCGAAACTACAAGTCGGTGAGATGCCTGCCTTCCAGAAAACCTATCTGCTAGATCCTAAATGTGATTTGCAACACAGAAGATGGAAGCAACAAAACTGCAGACTCGGGCACTGGCTGCCCTGGGGAAACCAAGGATCAACGATTTGATCTAAAATAATCATGCTATTGGTTCTGAGGCTTGTGATGCTTCAATGAACTGTAGGATAACTTAAACTTGGAGACGTAATTATCTTGAAAGTACACATTGAATACTTATTTAAACTTGGCTTCTTTTATTTTTCACGAGTCAGCCATACTCTTTTGGTTGGACGTACCATGACAAGGCTGCTGCTAATCTATCAAGCAAGTGATGGGTCTTATTTATTATCCTACTTGTGGTTCGGACACTCTGCTCTGCGTCGTGGTAGTTCAACGATGATAGTGTTACGTCCCACTAGTCCGAGAACAAGGAATTGCATGACTGCTTTTGTTGTGGATTTGTGGGGGTGGAAACACCATGGAGAAAAGTACGTGATGAGTATTACAGTGCCAGTAGTAGTCAAAACGCAGCACATGTCAGGTTCTGCATTAGTCATAATTCGACTGATTCTGATATTTCAATAACTATTTCTCTAATGATTAGTTAACATGGCTACAGTGTCGATTACATCTAACGATAGAAAAAATTGATTGCCATATGACTATAGTTTGAGAAATCAAGATGACACTAAAAAAAGTTTGGATATCGACATGAAATTGAATTCATGATTCGAATAACCATTTGTACAATCTAACTTTTTTTTATGTGTACATATTTATAATACGACTGGTAGTGGAATAACTAATTGGGATCTGATAAGTGTTTAACAATGAACTTTTAGGAAATCATATGATTTAATTCTTTCTTTCTCCCTCCTCCATTATGTCCTTTAAGTTTTTATATATTTTTTTATTAGTCTTTTTTTTTTTTTGTCATTGTCTTCTCTACTTGTGTTTTTTTATTTCCTGGTTCTGATGGAAACTTAATAACTACGCCATCACTCATTTGTTCCTGATGACGTGTGAAATGCTTCGAGTCTCGGCGTTCGGCACGATCCAACTCGCGACACCGGAGTTGGCGCCCATCAACAGCCACGGCCCACCTCTCTTGGCCCTTTATGCGACCATGTCGGTACGAAAGTCGTGCCGAGAGTCGGGTGAGGAAGAAGAGCTTAACAAGTCTACCCACTCGCCTTCGAAAGACGGGAAAATAAACGCATCGCGAACTCTCACGATGGATCGCCCGACCCACCCCAATCTCCCAGGATCGGAACAAGGGGGAGGAGGAGGCGATGACGAAGAAGCAGTGGAGCTTGTCCTCTTCCACGCCAACGAATGCTACGTCTACTTGGTAACCCCGCAATCCCTTATATTCCTTCATTCTCGATTGCATCGTGTCTCCGGATCCAATTCTCACCCATTGTGTTCCTTGTGCTCTTCGATCCCGTGGGGCTTTCTGCACAGATACCGCCCAGGAAGAGCGCAGCATCTTACAGGTTTGCCCTCAGATTCCCGTTCCATTATTCGTACACAGATTAATGAGATTTTATCCACGATAGGGGTTATCGCGCTAATTTTGGTGCAGAATTCTTAGAATTAACTGCTCCTTTTGCTTTCCTATATCTATTGGGATTTATATTGTAAAACGTGGATGGTCGATTTGGTTGATTTCGAGATTAATCCGAGGAACGGATTCCCTTCATGCGCACTGTCAAGAAGTTTGCTAGTTTGTTGGTTTATTTTTCGTGCCTTTTTCTTTTCCAAACTCAGAATTTTTTTTTTATGCTGTTGTGATCGACTGGTTATTGATAAGTCTAGAGAGTATTAATGTGTATGGGATTGGAAATATGGAGAAGTAGATCTTCTCTGACTTGCTTGGACTATTCTTTGCTGATTAACTTGGAAAATTCTGATCCTTAACGCTTAAGCTTGCTGATTTGCTGTCTGCTAAGATGTGAGTCATGTGGTGGTTCATCTCTTTTGAATTCATTTTTTGCTTGGCCTTCCTGAGTGCAATGTACCACATATCTCTGCATACTGCCGTGTCATGAATGTCTAAAATCTGGCTTTTACATAAGGATTGGATGCTTATAAGAACTGAAACTGAAATTATTCAACTTCTTTGTGTCAATAGCGACTGTTGTTGTCTTTGCCTCATGAAATTTATTTTCTTTTATTTTATCTTTTAGCCGGTGGCTAGGATTTTGTTTCATTGATTCTGTTACCATTTATTCATGGATGTTTAATTGTTTGTTGGTCAACTTGTTCAGTCTTTTCTTACACCTACCCAAAATGTTCTAAATTTCCTGTGCAATCTTTTCTGCAATCTGATCCATGTGCTCACATTTTCGTCAGTGACATACATTCACTTCTAAGTAGCAAATGCTAAAGCACACTGTATTTTCCAAATAACTTTGTCGATTGTCAGGGCCGATGAGTGGAATGTCAACAAATGGGCATGGGAGGGGGTATTGAAGGTTGTTAGCAAGGGAAAGGAATGCATTATCAGATTGGAGGATAAAACATCAGGTGTTGCCATCTTTCTTATTAGAACATTAGATTAAGGAACCTTGTTATATATTCTTTCATCACGTGAATCATTTGCCCAGGGGAATTATATGCTAGAGCATTCTTGAGAGAGGGAGAACCACATCCGGTGGAACCTGTTATTGACAGCAGCAGGTCTGTTTCCTTCTTTCGGTTTTTTCTATAAATTCTATAGTCAATTTTAATTGCATCAATTTAGATTTTGAATTAGAGAAGCTGTCTCTTGAACAGTTCATGTCTAAAGGTGCAACACAGTTACAACATACTTTTTACTTTTTACATACATGAATCTCTATCCCTATTACTTCGTGTGTAGTCCTCATCTCATTCAGCCCCTTGATCATCATTTCTCTTTTCTCCAGGTACTTTGTGCTTCGAGTTGAAGAAAATATAGGCAAGTTCCTTACACTTCCTTTGAATTGTGTGATGCAAATTTTAGTAAAGCCTTTGTAAGCTTAGGCATTGATTGATATTCCAAGTGCATTCCAAGCAACCCCTGTTATTTTATCTAAAATTGTTTCCTTTTTCCACTTCAGCAATCAAATTTGCTGTATGCCCATTAGCACGAACGGATTGATATCTCAAGTGTCAAAACATATGATAGTTCTTACTCGATTATTCTTTAATCATGTTATTAAGTAGATCTTAAATCTACTTACAAAATTTTAGATTCAAACAGGTTATTCCCCAATGATATATTGACACAAGACTCGTAAGAGTCTGGAGATAGAGGCGAAAAAGTGATATGGAAAGTCATACTGTATGTTGAGCAGAAGAGGTTGTATACTTGGTGACATTGTAGATTTTATTTATAGTATCAAGTATTTTTGTCTAAATTCCAAATGAGGTAATTTTGGAAAATGAAGCCTGTCTTTAATTTTAGTGACAAAATGATGACAAACACTTTATGGCTTATGCCATACGTTTATGCACAAGAAGAATTAATGAGAGCTTGAACAATAAAGAATTTGAATCAGTAGGTCTGTCAGAAGTGAGCTAGTTAAGAGACTTGAAGGAACCATAAAACAGGACTTGGAAATTTTAGGCATATAGAGATTTAGAATGTTTCATAAGAATATGCAGCCAAGATTTTGTAACATGTTGAAATAAATGAATAAGGCTTTGATAGTGTAACTTCCAAGAGTATAGCCATTAGGGAACTGTGTCAAAACCTATTTTTAGAGTTTGAATAAGGTTTACATATTAACAAGCTCTACATTTCCACACGTTGGCAGTAGTGCTCTTAATGAGATGCTAGTAGATATTCAATTTTTTCTTATAAGTCCAGTATAAAACTGTCGTTAAATTTAGAAAGATTTGTGGTAGATGGTATATTGTGTTTGTTTTAGCTTTCATTCATGTTAGCAGCACATTGAAGTCTTTTAACTCATTTTTTAATACTATCATAAGGTTGTTGATATATGCAATGGTTTTGGTTTTCATTATTTAAGTTCACATTTGTTGCTGAACTGGTACATCAGAGGTTTTCTGTTGTAAGATGCAATGTAATGTTGGATGTTGAAATGTCTAAAAACTGCAGGTGGTCGGAAACGACATGCTTTTATTGGTATAGGATTTAGGGAAAGGACAGAAGCATATGATTTTCAAGCTGCTCTGCATGACCACATGAAGTATCCTTCTTTTATGCAAATAATGGCTTGTTAATTAACATTATAAACTTTTTGGTTTGTGTGGTATTTGCAAATTAGTTTCAGGTCTGGTGTGTAAGGTGGATCTTGAATTTGTATGTTTAAGAAGTTTGCTCCTTTACTTTATTTAAGATATCTAGACAAGAAGAAAGTTGCTGAAGAGATGGAACAACATTATCAGACAACGTCAACAGTTGATTATAGTCTAAAGGAAGGGGAAACTCTGGTACTTCAGTTGAAAAATGTAAGTTTATCTTTCTCTCCTCTTTCTCTCTCCCTTTCTTGACATACATATATACATACATGATTGCATGCATGCTTGCATGCATGTTCTGCTGTTATATCACTTTTGTTTAGGACAAGCACATCATTCGATAATCATCTTTTAGTTTGTTTCAAGTGAAGGCAAAACTATTCTGTTGCTTCTTGCAAGACATTGTTTAACCTCAATTTATTATCATGCCATTTGTCTTTGGAGATAATACAATATGAGGATATACCATTATGAACAAAAGGAACTGTAAATCAAGATATATATCTGATAGATATGCACTAATGAACCGACACTAGGACTTAATGAGTGTCATTTTAGTGAAGGCTTTCACATATTGAAGGATGGTGCAAAGGCCCCTGTCTCTTAACCAGGATGGTAGAAATCCAGTTGTGGTTCAACGCATCAAGGTCTGTTTCTTCTTAATGGCACTTTGTGCGACTGTTGCTGGCCCATTCTGCACTTCTCCCGTTGTGGAGCCAGGTTGTGCCTAGGAGGTTATTGCAAAAAAATGATTTAGAATAACTTATTTACGGACTGGATCTTATAGCAGATACAGATGTAGCAAGTTAACACAATAACCAATACTTATTGTAGCCTATATAATTTCCCATGTCTTCAGGGTTATCTATTTTCCATTTAGAACATGTATATACATACCACCATCTTTATCATCATTTCTGATATCCTTTTTCTTTGTTCATTTAAAGCAGGGATATTCATCTGATCATACAACCATCGTATCTTGTGCTCATTAAATAAACCCTTCTGGAAAAAAAAGAACATCTGAAAATGTAAACCTACTGGTATACATATTTTGGATTACTTCAAGTCTATGGATGTTCACAAGGTGACGAAAGGATCATGGAGTGATGAGAAGAAGTAAAAAAGTAATGTCAAACAAGACAAAAAGATAAAAAGTATCAGTTATTATTATTATTATTTTTTTGAAAACAAACTATTTCATTGAACTAGAAGAAATTAGCAAGTGGATTGGCAACCAAGGTCATCCAAAGTACTAAAGTGGTCAAAAGTTGCTTGATGTCAGCAATGATAGCTTAGAAGTGCCATGGAGTTTGATGAACTCCATTGATGTAGAGGATGACTGCTTGTGCATCATATTGGAGGTGGATGGAATTCCAGCCAAAGGCCGCAGCATGCTTAAGGCCCTCCAGGATGGCCAATGCCTCCGCATTGGCTGAGTTGTGCACCCAGCAAGATTGGCAGCCAACCACCAGAGTAGTAGAGGAAGGCAACTTGAGAATATACCCTATACTTGCAAGGTGATCGGGGGGAAATGAAAGAGCTGTCACACTGCAAGGTACAGTAAAAAAACTCCTCTGTAGGAGGAGGTTGAGGAAATATACTCCCGGTCCCCTCAGGACAAGGATATGGATCATAAGTTTCATTCACAAGGGTCAGGACCCTGATTACTAAGGTAGTGGGGTTAGCATGGTGGTTGCCAAATCGGACATCATTTCTATTGAGCCAAAGGGTCTAGAAGGAGTAAGAAATAATGTTGAGGATCCATCTAGCAACAGGTTTCTCATGTCCTTTGCCTTCCTGGAGCCAAGAGCCAGTTGACGAAGAATCAAAATGTTTAAAGTGTGGTCGTATTCTGTTCTGAAGTAGATTCCAAAAGGTGATAGAAGTACTACATTCAAGAAAGATATGAGCCGGAGTAACCTCGTAAGTGGTTTCACATATGACAGTCATCTACTTGGTGATGGAGAATGTGAGCAAACAAGTCCGAGGTAGGCAAATGATTCCAACAAAGTTTCCAAATAAAAAGTTTGACCTTTGGGGAAATAGAAAGGCTCCAAATTACCTTCCAGCCATGCTATCCTGTATTGTTAGAGTCAGCTTTAATAAACTGATAGGCATCGCTTGTAGAAAGAGAGCCCAATGGATTGGGCTGTCATATCCAATAGTCATCACAGGGGGGAGCCTAGAAATAAAAATCCTCAGAATCCGATCAGCTAAGGAGGAGTGGAAAAGAAGCTGGAGCTTAGGCAGATTCCAGCAGTTAAAGAGTCCAAAACTGAAGTTGTTATTTGTCCCTATTCTTTATACTCAATGCCATTTGATAGACATAATTGCTTGTTGTCTATTGATGGCTCTTTCCTTTTTTTCATTTTCTTTTGACCATTAGGGGGGTTAGCATTTGATCCTTGTACACTTATTTCTAGTAAGGACAACATTTTTTATAATCAAAACTGTTGTAATATTTGAGTTCACTTCAGTGAGGTTACCATACTTGCCTGTGACTTGTCACAGAAAGCTAAGTTCCTCTTCTGAAGGCGATGTAGATCTATATAATGAATGTGTTTTCACTTCAATCTGTCAAAAGCCGCACTGCTTTTTACTCATATGGCTGAAACTTTCGATGCATTGCACTTTCCTTGGGTTCATCTTGCATTTTTACTTAACCTTTCAACCAATGCAGTTATTTCATTGCTTAAAATCTTCTGCAAAGTTTATCAAACCATACTTGCAACAAATTTGGAAAAAGAAAGGTTTATCACACGAATGCTAAACAACTAAATGTAAGACTAAGATTCCAGCTTCGTCTGTTTACATGATAAGATTTATTTGATTTACAATAGTTCATAAGCATGTTCTCACTTGCAATAAGCACCATATTCTTTTCTTAACAGTGCATGATTGAGGCACCTGATATGAGTTAAACATGTCTTCATCAAAACCTTTCCAAGTGAAGCAAGGAGTCTTTCTTGATAGATTGGTTGGCTTTGTTTACGTTTTCTCATGATTGTTTGCAGTGTGATGTGGTTATTCTTAGCTAACTTATCTTTGAAACTCTCTTGGATATGCTTCCACCATAAATTCACATGGTCACATCTTGGTTGCTGACCTGGTGAAACTGATTGTGAAATTGTACACCTGTGGCAGAAAGGAGGTCAAAAGGTAAAGTCTGCATGTTTGGAGCAGAGCCTGAACAATCTTTCATTGGATGGTAAGACAAAAACCCAAGAAGGTTCTATTTGCCTGAAACCACCTCCTCCTCCACCTGCACCCCTTTCGCCAGTAAAACCTGCTGAAAGATCATCCTTTACTTCAGAGCCATCTACCACGGAAGACACTGAGTTGCATTCCAAGGTTGAACTTTCACCCAAAGAAACATCGAAGAACATAGAAAGCAGTGCACAAAATGCCATAGATGATGACTTTGGTGATTTTCAGGCAGCCGGCTGATTTTTGTAATCTGCACCTATCTTCTGCACTTGGCTCTTGTCGTGTTGATGTATCGTTACGTTTTGTGGTCGGTTGGCGTACCAAGACTTGGTGTAATTAGGATGGTTGGTTACAGTGAGATATATAACATTTGCTTTCTTTCAAATGATAATGAGCAATTGTACTCAAATATCAAAGTAAACCCTTGCATGCTTTTATGCAATCATATCGGTTACTTCTCTTTCTAACGTTTCTATGATGCATGCATTCATTCATTCATGTTAGACTTTGTTCGCTACATTTTACACTTCGTTTGAACACTATCCTCACAACGTTTGCAAGAGTCCTGATAAATTATGAGAAAGATATGCTTCATTTGAGAGTGCAATCTGCTGGCCATTATGCGAATCATTTTTCAAAATACTTGGGAGACATGTTGTCACAAGGTAACATGTCAATTACATGTTAATCAGTGGCATCTTTAACATTTAATGTCACACGATAACAACAGAATGACATGAACAAGAAGATGCCATAAACATAATTCGAGAAACTTCCAAATAAAAGTGTATTCACCCAACCGAATTTTAATCACATATAAATCTATTCAATTATTAAGGCTATTCACATATTTTTTCCATTAACATGAATGAAAACTCAGGTTAAGCATGCCAAACCATAATTAACAGCAGCAATATGAGCTGAAAAGATATTTAAATACCTACAGAAATTATAATATTTTTATATTATGATAATTTTAAAAATCATTGATACTATTTATAATTCTAATTAACAGTCAGTGATACGGACATTAAATACAATAAAACATATATATATATATATATATATATATATATATTAGTTTTTATATTTTGTGAGGATATATGTATATAGAAAAACAACTTAAATTTGGAGGGATGAATATGGAAATCACTTATTTCCGAGGAAGATATAGGCAATTTTCTTTTATATAAGCAAAAATTGGCTCGAGATTCTCGGAGAAGACACCTGTCGCGCGCTCACTGTCACGTGGGGTGACGTCATCTGGGGCGTGATCTACCAACCTGTTCCCATTCGATCACAGCAACTGCATCTTATATATTAGAAATTGTCGGATGGGATTTACCCAATCACTGTTTGCTGTCTATTTATAAACATCAGATCACATAAAGCTTCTCAAATATCTGCACGGGAGACAACAGAAAGCTTCCTTCGCACTATTTCCACGTTGGCTGCTCCTCTCTCTCTCTCTCTTAATCCAATACCCCATCTCATGGCGGCGACCGCCGTGGCGACGATTTCCTTGGCTACCTCGTCCACCCCTCCCGCCTCCCGCGCCAAAATCCAGAAACCAGCGCCCGGAACCCTGGTCCTCGGATCCTCCGCCGCCTCGCTGTCGTCGTCCTCCATATCGCTGCGGCACGTCGTGCCGGCCGGACGGGGTGGCGGCCGCGGCGCCGCCTTCGGTGCTCGGATGGTGTCGATGCCCTCTGTCGAGAAGCCCCCGCCGTCACTCGACTTCGAGACGTCGGTTTTCAAGAAGGAGAAGATTACCCTTGCCGGCCACGACGAGGTTCTTTTACCCTTCGCCACCATTTGCTTCCATCATTCTAGGGTTTTGGTGATTCTTATGGTTTCTTGTTTTGGTATCAGTACATTGTTAAAGGTGGAAGGGATTTGTTCTACTTGTTGCCGGACGCATTCAAGGGGATCAAACAGATTGGGGTGATCGGATGGGGATCTCAGGTGAAATGAAAGAAATCGTTTCTTTATTTCGAGTTCTTTTTTCTCGTTGTTTCTTTAATTTGTAGATGCAGTAATTTCTTTTCTTGCAAAAAATTATCCTCCTAAATTGGTGTAAAAATATTTTTCTAGTAATTCTTTAGAGTGTTATATGAATTTGTGACTATGAAAGTATGAATAAATGGTGATAGAAGAACCACTTGTGGCAGATTCAGTGGATAGCTGCATGGGATTCGTTGCAATAATATCTGCAGAACAGACTTTCTGATTATGTTATACTATGTATTGCAAATAATCAAGAAAATTTACAGAAATTAGATAATGTTAGTTTTAACTATTATATGCACGTAGATAACTCCATAGTTTTCTTTTTTTTTTTTTCATGGAAGAGGTTGACCATCTTAAATATTTATGTTTTATTATATTGTTAAAAGGATTATGGTAATATTGTCATTGGTGAATTTAGCAGTATGATAAGATTATTTCACTTTTTGTATTCACCATTAATAAATTACAGTGTTTTTTTTTTTATAATCTAGTGGTTGGCTGTTGGTTTAGTCTGTTGTTTACAGAGATGACACAAACCCATTTCAGTTTTTCTTGTACCTCAATGCACATTCTCATTCAACTTCTCCTTTAATTAGGTTTAGAGACTGGCTCCCATCCTTACCATCTTTTACAATAGCTCAATATTTAACTTTCTTGTTTATCAGTCTTCTTTGTTTACCTAATGCCAAAATTTCTGTTGCTCTACAGGGCCCTGCACAAGCACAGAATTTGAGGGATTCACTTGTGGTGGCAAAGTCCGACATTGTGGTCAAGGTGACTGTACTTATGTGTTTTATGTGTTTCTGATTTATCACAGATTCAGAAGTGACAAACTTGTTCATTATGTGAAATTTAACTAATATGTGATTCAAAGTTCCTTCAGAAGACTCGCTTACACACATTGGAATGCTCTCAGTATGGGTTAGCTGGCAGAGCCAGATGAAGTACCAAATTGTTAATTAACTAACTATCTCTTGTTGCATTTGGTGACCAAATTGAAAATGGGATTCCCAGTAGTTTCCGTATATTTCTACCAAGAGTCGTATCATGCATGTTTTAATTCTTTACTTTCTGAAGTTATCATCTGCAGATTGGTCTGAGGAAAGGTTCTCGTTCTTTTGATGAAGCACGTGCAGCTGGATTCACCGAAGAAAATGGAACTTTGGGTGATATCTGGGAGACAGTTGCAGGCAGCGATCTTCTTCTGCTGCTGATTTCTGATGCTGCACAGGTCAGCAATAATTATAGCCCTTGCAGTTCAACCAATCCCCTCTTCAGTATTATATGATGTGTGTTAACTGGACACTTGTGAGCACGCCTAAGAATTGTGACAGATGCAAGCTTGTATATCCTGATAATTACCCATGATCTAAACATGTGGTCTTTATCTTTTTTGAATGTCAACTTGAAGAAGTTGACATCCATGGCCTTTGAGTTTCTCCATAGACCTTTTAGAAAATCACATTCTTGTAGCATATCTATGTAACTATCATATTCACTATTCTTCTTCCATGGGTTCTCGTTTCTGCTTTTAGTTTTTGTTTTCTTCCATGTGTATATAACTATCATATAAACTATTCTTTTAGAAAGTCACTTGCAATACATGTCCAAATTTAGTTGTTTTGTCTTTATATAGGCAGCATGATTTTATGTAGATATACTGCTCTTAGCATGGCAGTTATCTTATACACTACTGATCTTAGCAAGATTTGAGTTAGAGCAGTATTAGTTATGGATGAATCTGTCAAATTTCATGTAATTATATTCATTGATTTTAGGTAACAGGATTCAATGTTTGCAAGACTCAGGGTAGAAGTCAATAACAAATCTAAGTCGAACCATGTTAACTGAAACTTTTATAATTGTTCAACTTTAGCTATTTGATATGGTTGAGAGCCTTGTTTTGCTAGGATTTACTAAATGATGAGTGAACAGTTTGTATCACTTAGATAGAAATCAGAGGGAACTTTTTCAGAGTTAAGGAGTCCTTGAAAAAAAAAAAGGCTCAAAACCGTAAGTGGTAAAGTTCCAAAATTTTCTCTTTTACTTGGTAGCTTTTTTTATTGATTGAAACCCAATCGATCATGGTCATTATTGTTTCAGTAATAGAATATTAATTTATTCTCTACTTAAACCAATCTTACTGATAGCTTTCGTATTTCATTAATAGTATGTTAATTTATTATTTACTTAAAACCAATCGTATTGGTAGCTTATATTAATAAGAGTCTGATTAATGTTCTAAACAATTAAAGACGACTAAATAATATTGATAATAGAATACCCTAGTCAATGTTCAAAAGCAAATTGTTTGTATATTATGGATTGAGTCTTATTTGTTACTGTCTTTTGTCCTTTTTCACAGCATACCTTGGTAGCTGAACTTTTTGATTTAATGTTTCTTCAAGATTTCATTGCAAGTCTTTCTGGAGCATGTTCCACAGATTTTGCATTCCACTTTAGGCCTGAGACTTGTATTAACCAACAGTTCTTAAATCCTTTTTAAACATTTTTTAACATATTTTTCCATGGTGCATGAACTTCTGCAACTAGGCATATTGGTAATTTCATAACAATTCTAAAGGTAACATGAAAAATTGTTTCATTTTTTTGTTTTCAGGCAGACAATTATGAAAAAGTATTCTCTCATATGAAACCAAACAGCATTCTGGGGCTGTCACATGGTTTCCTTCTAGGGCACTTGCAGTCCCTCGGCCTTGATTTCCCCAAGAACATCAGTGTAATTGCTGTGTGCCCCAAGGGAATGGGTCCATCAGTGAGAAGGTTATATGTTCAGGGTAAAGAGATAAATGGTGCTGGGATTAATTCTAGTTTTGCTGTACACCAGGTAATCTATAAGTCTAAAGTTGGTTTGTAAAGAGATTGTGAATTGTATCTATTATCTTTCCATGTCCACAAAAGATTGCTAGCTTAACGAGGTTTCACATACTTGTCTTCAATGTGAGCAGGATGTTGATGGCAGGGCAGTGGATGTTGCTCTTGGATGGTCAGTTGCTCTAGGATCTCCTTTTACATTTGCTACGACATTGGAGCAGGAGTATAAGAGTGATATTTTTGGAGAGCGCGGTAGGCCCATTCACCTGCAAATTTATTGCTTGTGTACGGTGCCTGACCTTATTTAGTTATGCTATTTTTAGGTATTTTGCTTGGTGCTGTGCATGGAATTGTGGAAGCATTATTTAGAAGGTACACCGAGAATGGAATGAGTGAAGAGCTTGCTTACAAGAACACTGTTGAGTGCATCACAGGAATCATATCAAAGACCATTTCAACAAAGGTAACTTTTATCTAACATGTGATTGTATGACATCAAGAGGACTAATTCTCAAGCATGCAATGATTTCAGGGGATGCTCTCTGTATATAGTGCTTTGACCGAAGAGGGGAAGAAAGAATTCAATGCTGCATATAGTGCATCATACTATCCTTGCATGGATATATTGTATGAATGCTATGAGGATGTTGCCTGTGGAAGTGAAATCTGCAGTGTTGTATTAGCTGGACGGCGCTTCCAGGTAAGCTCTTAATTATGATATATTATGTCAGCTCTAACTGATTAAAACTTGATTGATATTGTTCTTGGTGTTTGTTCAAGTACTTGATATATTATAACAGTAGGTAGTTTGTCGAATTGATGCAAATGGGTTTTCTTTTATTACTTGTTATAGGCGATGGTGGATAAAATTTGATTATTTTGCTTGATAGGAAAAGGAAGGGCTTCCAGCTTTCCCAATGGGTAAAATCGATCAAACACGAATGTGGAAAGTTGGCGAGCGAGTTCGTGCTACACGTCCTGCAGGTGATTTGGGCCCCCTACATCCCTTTACAGCTGGAGTTTATGTAGCTTTGATGATGGCTCAGGTACAAGATTGTCTTCATATTTATCTCCTACCAATCACATAACGTGAAAATTTTCTTTTGTCGACATGGTTATAAACGTGCAGATTGAAATCTTAAGAAAGAAAGGGCATTCTTACTCTGAGATCATCAACGAGAGCGTAATCGAATCTGTGGATTCCCTGAATCCTTTCATGCATGCTCGTGGGGTGTCATTCATGGTGGACAATTGTTCTACTACTGCACGACTGGGATCGAGAAAATGGGCCCCGCGTTTTGACTACATCCTCACACAGCAGGCATTTGTCTCAGTGGATAAAAACAGATCTATCAATCAGGACCTTATCAGCAACTACTTGTACGATCCAGTTCATGATGCCATAGGAGTATGCGCACAACTGAGGCCGACTGTTGATATATCAGTGCCTCCCGATGCAGATTTTGTCCGTCCAGAACTGCGACAATCGAGCAACTAGGATCCGAGGTGAGTTTCTGATGGTACTATTTTGGCATGTCTGAGGGCTATATCACAGGTTTAGCTTAGTCGAGGTGTAGTTTTGTTCGGGAGTTTATGAGATGCAGGGTCTAGTTCTCCGAACAACCCGAACTTTATGCTATCCATGCTTCGAAGTGCCAGAATAAATTAGCCCTCCTTTTCAAATTCCTGTTATTTCTTTCCATGCGATAGTTCGATAATGCTCCAGTTGTCCCACCCTTTTTCTACCGCTTTGTAACTCGACGAACCCCGAACATGATACGGACGACTGGCTGGCGAGAGACCCGTGATGACCAATGCAAACACCAAAGCTTTTCAATATTTAAGATAAAAATTATCAATATTTAAGATAAAAATTAGACATCCGAATTCTCATCACCCAAACATATGCAGGGAAAAATAACAACAAGAACCTGCTTGTATAATCATTACACGAATGAAGTTAATATTCAAAAAATAAGCAATTAAAAACGACAATAAGATACACGAAACTACCAAATAGTATAAAGATTGGAAAAGGACCTAAGAGGCTGCCTCTACTAGGGGAGGTGACTCGGTGACCTCTGGTGAAGCATTTGTGCTGCTCACTGCCTCCACAACTGGTGGGGTGCCATTCGATTGATCAGCTGGAGGAGGAGCTTCCAACATTAGTGGCTTATCTGTCTGGGTGTTCAGTGTGTTCTGCGATGTAGCCAAGTCGCTTTGCACTGGAGTGGGTTCGGGACTCTGTGTTGCGGTGGAGGGACCCTGAGATGTGGCGGCTGAAGCAGGTGGCTTTTTGTTAATCGTGATGGGAGGAGCTGACAGAGATGCCATCCCGGGAGGAAGGATTTCTATGGGAGGCTTCTTTCCAGCTTCTGCTAGGCTTGTAAACTTTGGATCCTCAAGTGATGCCAAAAATGCTGAAGCAGCATCAGTTTTGACAGAAGGTGCGTGCTCAAGCTCCTTCTGTAGCATCTTGTTCCACGTCTGGACCAAGTTCTTCAGTGTAGGGCGACCATGGGCCTGGGAGAACAAAATTTAGGATTTAGAATCATATAGAACTGACAGCGTTATTGGAACCAAACTAGGAAAAAGGAACATCCAAACAAATTTAAACATCAGTGGGAATTTTCTTTCGCTACAGAATAGCCCTGCTTTCCTTGTTCTTGAAAGGTTACAAAAATATACATGCAACTTCAATTCAAATATTTGGATCTGTAGGGAACATCTTGGGTAGCTACCACAACAATCTTGAGACAAGTGAGTTGTGTAGGATTTCTAGATATCAGGCTGAACTAGGAACGTGAAAACCATACATCTGTTCTTAGGGCTCAGGTTGACATGTTGAAAAACCTTGGCCAACCATACTCGGATTATTGGATTGAACCAGAAAGGCCTCTCTCTCTCTCTCTCTCTCTCTCTGTAGTATATCTCCATCACCTCTCCTGAACTCGTCGATGTCTGTCACTCTTGGTGTGAAATACGATTCTCTTATGATGCCCCAACAATCCTAGATCAGAATGATGTTTAATTGGAACTTTTGCAGATTAAATATTTTGGACCACACATTTGTAGGCTTGTTATAGCAAGTCCAGAGTATGTTGTCCTATAGGTCCAAATTATGACAAATGAATCAGAGCAACCTTAAGGATTACTTTTATATTAACATTGTTGAATCTCAAATTTTGATAATGAAACCAATTGATAAAGTTATGATCTAATATGCATTTTGAGTGACGCAGGACTAAGTTCGAGCATTAGGTTGTAGGATCGGACATTGTGCCAAAAAAATCGGATGTTGCGAAAGGTCAACATGCCGATTGGGCAATACGCCGAAGGATCGGACGAAACGACCTATAACAGTGTTCCAACGATCAAATTGATCGTTGGAGCCCTTTCTTGTGATAGGAGTCCAACAATATCGAGTCAAACTGCTCAAGGAACTACATACACCTAACGATCATAGTCATCCGCCCAGTATGCAAAGGCAAAGGAGAAGGTAGTAGCATCAATCGCATCGTTAGAAAGAATCGAGTCGGGCGACGAGACACCTTCACAATCGCATTTAACAACTCGCTCGATCCAAAGCATGATAGCAACACGGACAGTAGTGCCTCGACGGATGATAGCGGCGACGCCGAGCAATCGTTGGTCTCGTCTACACAACTTGAGGGTAGTGCATGAACCGAGGAGGAATATTTTACACATGCCACCCAAGATTCAAATCATGGAACTCGACAAGGTACTGATCAAGTTTGTGTGGAAGGGGAAGACAATGGATAAATTTGAGCAGATGCGACAGAGCCTACATGATGTAGATAGTCATACTTCTCTGAGCAATAGTATCATAGAGAGCAACATATCAGTAGCAAATGTGGAAGTTCTAACATTCACCAATACATGCCTCAGGAGCCACCTCGGACAAATATGATTCATGACGATCAACCTACGATTATCACCACATTGATGCACCAATGACATACGGTGTATCAATACACTATGTCATGAGATCAATTTCAGGATTAGGTCCAACAAACATATCATATTGATATGCAAATGTATAGGATCGAGAACCCCGATCCACCACTCGTGGAGGCTCGTCGTTCGTTTTGGTAGTAGAATAAACAATTAGATATATATACTTATATGATTATTTAATTCATTTGAATTTTAAAATTTATATTATAATAAAATAATCTAACAATTTAAATGATTTTTCTATAGATATTTCAATATTTACAGAAGGACAATCTGTAATAGACCGAAATATGAACTTTGCACAAGGCTATTCCTCAAAGCCCAAAAAAAGACATGACACTATTCTTACCTAATTTACATTGATTTTGTTAAATTTATACTATTACTATATTTATTTCTAACTTAAAAACCCTATCCTAACTTTTTTTTTTCTATTTTTCAGATATTTTCAGAGGATTTTACACCTAAATTACGCATATCGCACCATACCGACAAAGCTCAAAACTCTAGTACGGTGCAAAATTTCAACTCTTGGTTGTTAGCATATAGGTCATCAGGTTGTGTCGTGACGATGTTAGTTACGACAGCTAAATGTCAGTCACATACTCATTCTTACATGGTTCCCAAAAAAAAGAAAATTCACTAAAGGCTATTTTCAGATATCTACCTAATTTTGTTAATTAATTTGCAGCCATTTCTTTCCGTTCCAAAAAGAAAAAAGAGGTTAATGTAGGAAGACATTGCATTTTCAAGTATCTACCTAAGATCATATACCAAATAGTATCTAATATTGGGAGATTCAGTATTTTTGACATGATTGAGAGTATTCCTGTAATTAAAAAGGGGCATCTCACATGTCCAATGGCTCCTGTGGTATTTGAAACGTCTTCTTCCTAATTAATTCACAAATCTTATAAATAAACCTCTTAAAGGAATAGAAGGCCTTGGATACTTACATGAGCATGTAGTACAGCCTCTGCAAGCATCCCAGTGTCCTGCCATGCCTTCTCCATTAATGCATTATCTCCTAAAACTGCTGCAGAAAATGCTGCTTCACGCCCATGACCCGCTACAATCAGATTATTTATCAAACCCTGAAAGAAACAGCAGTGTTAATCAAGTGTTTTGGAGTACTGAATGAGGAAAAAAAATTCATGAATTGACTTGCATGTAAACTGGCACATGCATGTCAAATGCTTCTCCCACTAGCTTTTACTTCAATTGCTAGGTGTTCACCTTACAGTCGCAAAAATGCTAATCATATGGCCCTTTTGCACAAGTCTTTAGATTGCCAGGTGTTCACATTTTATTTGCTAAATTGCTGATTCTATGGCCTGTTGCACAAGCATCATTAATGGTAACCGCAAGATATTCTAACTGATCTTGTCATTTCTCAACCAAATATTTAAAAGACAAATAATAGATCCTGATTAGTTGCAGTCCACCTACATGGATCCCTTTCACACCATTAAGCTTATTTTCAGTTGTATTTCTCATCATTTTACATGATTGCAATCAATTTCTTTTTCTTCTTTGCCTTGTTAGTAGCACCTCTTTGTCTCAATGACAATAACTCTAGGCATACGTAGTTTGCTAACTGCTGAGAGATCCGATTCATATAAAACATTTATCCGTATAATTGTCTTATAAGATCTCCTTTTAATTTAGAGAAAATACATCATGATTACTATTCTAATTAAATATTGATTATATAATTTTATGTGACTGATATCAAATTTCCCTGTCTAATAATCTGCCAAGCAAAATAAAATTCAATTAAAACTTATTATCGACATATTTGGAAGGGTATTGGACGTGATTTGGTAGTTTGGAGCTAATCATACACACCAGGTTGTGCTGAAAGTTTAAGGATGCATTTAATAAAAAAATTGATAACAATTTCCTACTTCTCAAAGCGTAGTCTCCAATTAATGAATGGAAATGGACCTTTTTCACTTTGAAAGACCATGGTTCCATGCAAAAATTTCGTATAACAATAATCATAACCAAGACGAACATCTTTATTTTACTTGGTTTGTTGTCATTTAGTAGTTTTCCTAAATGTTGAGAAATCAGTACAGGGATTGACTTGTCTTATACCACAGAAAGAGGGTACTACATAGAGGTTGGTAGGTTGATTCTATGAACCATATCCACTTCATATGAAGATCTATATGAGATGTTTCTAACTCTGTAATCCCCATATAAGCTATAAGCCGCACCTCCAACAGGTAGACAGATGCAAGCATTAAACATAAAACTGACTTTAAAAAATGTTATTAAATTAAAAGAAAAAACTAAGCAAGTCATTGTGACAAGTAAAAATATTTTACTTTTGGTTACATGTGATAGGCCTTAAGAAAAGTTTTAAGTCTGCAAAGAATAACCTACGATAAACTTTCAATTTTCTTGTTTACTAAGTATTTCCTCAGCAAGAACCAATAAGATTGTGAGATATGCCTTCATGTTGTTATGCTTCATGAAAGATGCTGTTGGCGGCAACTGTTGGATGTCACAGCAGCCTCTCTCAAGTCTGTAGGTTGTCGATTGGAACCTCCACCACCGCCTCAGCGTTGTTGTCCTCTTTCTCTTTGGTCCATGGCATACCAGACTACATCCGGTCCAGCCAGGGACCAAATCTAGTCTTCGACTGATTACTGAAACCTTGATTAGGACCAAAGAACAAAAGTTCACTGGGACGAGTTTGTACCAGCAGAAATTTATTGGTCAGTCATGAACTAGGATGCAAACATATTGGTATTCTGTGTCAGTAAACCAATATGGACCAGAACTGTACTGGTCTGGCCATGGACGGACATTGTGTAAATTTTACTTAATCAGGAAGGAGATAAGCAAGTATAATAGGTATTAATCAAGGCATTATTAGCCTGACAATGACTCCCTAACCCTTTAAAGTGCTTGAGGTAACAACTAAGTAGGAGGCACAATGGTGCAAGACACAAGCAATATATGGTTAATTTACGCAATCTTGAGAACAGGCGCACAACTAAAATAATTAAGATACTGAAGGATATGGGTTTACAAATGATGTTCAACATCTTAAATACCATCAAATTACATCATAAATAAATTTTAAAAATTCATAAGGATCTCAATCCAAATGTATTTTACCACAAATCTGCCTGTACAATACTTGGGAAAGACCATGAGCATCTAACTTTGTGATAAAATACTAATAAGCAACAATATAATCAACACAAATTTGATTTGACCTTGAAGAAAAAGTAAGAAAGAAAACAGCCACCTAAGCTAAAACTTTAGATTAGAATGCTCATCCATGAGGTATGCGTTAATTAAAGTGTACTTATGCTAACCACTTAAGATATGCCTATGTTGTAGCTAAAAGAATAATACTTTTATAGCAATTGAAAAGGATAGTCTACATACTGAAAGTCTGGTTAGCTCTCCATGATTTGCAAGTCGTAGTGCTAGTCCTCTCAAAACTTGACCTTTCAAAGCACCCTTCACAGATCCAGCAGCAGCCAACCTTTTGAGAGCTTCACGAGCAATATCAGCTTGTCCTGTAGCATCTGCAGCATCAATAAGGTCCAAAAACTCCTTAGCAAATTTTGCTATACCCTGGACAGCATCCACAAGATTTTCCTGCTTAACAGCAGTTAGACTAAGAATCTCAGTGATATCTGCAGCTGTAGTTTCTTGACCAACATCCCTGCTATTGCTCATCGTCAACAAGCACTGCAAGGCCCTCTTCAAGTCATTGCTCTGCATAGCCAAGTCAAACTCTAACCTGGTGTAAATTAGTGTAAATTAAGTCATATTAGCTCTTGATTTAAATCAGTGTAAAATACACAATAGTAGACCAATTCATGCTCAACTACAAAACAAACAAGGAGTCAATTAATATTGCATGTTATTGGTGATGATTACAAATTAACTACCCTTTTTTACAGACCTCTTGGATATTCCTGGCAAATGAAGAGCTTCAGTTGCATATCCCATCCCAAGCATGAATTGAGCCAAATCATCATGATGCTCACGACTAAGCCTAGTTGCCCTGCAGAGGTAAAGGAATACTCGCAGGTCTTCTTGAGGAAATTCAATGCAAAATAAAAATGATATATTAGAATGGTAATAATACCATTTCACTGCACTAACTGCATCTCCATATGCAGCAAGACACCGGCAACGAATACCTGGATGGCTGAGAGACAAGGCATGTGCACACATATGCCTGAAAACAGATGTCAAAGCGGCCATAAAAAATTATAACAAAAAACTGGATGATGTAAAATTGGTATTCGCTTCTTTGCCAAGTATACAAACTGTTTGCTGAAATAAATGTACAAAAGGAAGCAAACAAAAGGATCACCCCAGATTTGGGAAAGGCAATTAGGTAACCAGGAGTTGAAGAAACTAAAAGAAGAAACCTAACTAATCTGAATCATTTATGCAGTGGATGATTAAGAAAATACACCATAGTGTTTACCCTTCCATTATGCACATGCAATAAAATGTGAATAAGAGTAATCTTACCAAACATCTTGCGATGTGATTACTGAAAGTTCTTATATAATTGTCAGATTCTCTTTATTTGAATAAATAATACTGAATCATAATTTGAATTTACACTGCCTGTGTGAATCATAATTTGTGATGTGATTCCATATGTAGTTAATTTCTTCGAAATTGCAAAACTTTTTCAGAGGGAAATCAGATGGTAATTTAGGTTTTTTTCAGGAAAATCTTTCCAAGATGAAAAGTCATATCATGGTTCACCACCAAATTGTAATGTATATAGGGCTAACAGTTGAGCTAAAGATGTTGTAATTCAATGGCGAACTAATTTCTTTTATCTTAATTTCACTCTATTTTAGGGCACCTTGTGTTTTGAGTGAGATTTGTTCAGCAAATAATGATAATAAAAAGTATTACTTTAAAAGGTTTATTAGCTCTGACAATTTTGAAGTATCAAGTTGACAAGGAATCCTATTAACATTTAAGCTCATTATGGTTATGCTATATGTTATATTAAGTCAGCATTGTCCAGTTTAGGATCATTAAATGCTCTAAGATACATGTCTGACCGAAGCAGTACATTTACAACCAATTATTTGATGCACTTGAGTTTTCTTCCAGAATTTTCAGGTTTTTATGGATTGATCCTAACTTCGAAAATGTTCTATCTCTAAAGCATTTTGTAACACAATTTGGTGACAGTTACAAATGAAAAGCTTCTATTACTATTTTTTCTTCAGTAAAAATGAATATAAAAGGTAAATTATTCTCTAAATTTTTGGCGCATAGTTAAAACTTGTTTATTGAGCCTTTTACATGTTTAAAAGAAAATGAAGTAGACTGTGACAGTATGAGAGTGCAAAGGAAGCAGTTAAAGGCTAAAAAAGAGTTATACTTTAATAATGATCAGAAGATCTAAAATATAACTTAAAATACAAGGGTGTTTAGACTTCTCGGACAGATTGTGGCATTGCTATATTTATTTCAGAAAATGAGCTTTAGTATGAAAGTCATGACAGATGTCACGATCTGACCTGATGAGAAAAATGAGTTGCCTGGACTGTGTTCCTATCAAGGTTCGCAATACCGTACCGTACCGGTATTTCGACCTGGGCTCGGTACCGGTACGGTACGGTATACCGAGCGGTACACCCAAGTGCACTCGGACCGGTAACAAGCGGTCCTTGTACCAACAACCTGTCGGACCGGTACATACCGCCCGTACCGGGCGGTACAGTTCGGTACGGCAGACCCTGGTTCCTATAAATATTTAAGACCAAGTTTGTAATAGCACACTCAACCAGTAAATATATCAGAATCTCTACCACCTTAAGATTAGACCCATAGCCAACAACTGGCCCATATTTAGGCCCTAGTAGACGGTATCTTGACGTCCAGTTTAGTGATGGCTCTACACCTATAAATATATGAATGAATGCATGACTACTAATGGTGCTTAAAATTCATAGCATATAGAAAAACTAAATATTTCATCCGAATTATGATCCTCATGGATGTGCAGCTGGCCAAATATTTTACAATCGAAAGTTCAATATAACAGTAAATTGTGTTCAATATTGAGCTTAAGTTATCCATGGTATTTATTATCCTGTCATACCCATATAAGAAGTTGTGACAGATTCCAATATGTGAACCGAAATGTGCCAACAGATTTCAGATTATAATCAACGAACTATCATTACTAGCATGATCTTACCTGTCAATAAGCCAAAGGACCCCGTCTCTAACACCAACCAGAATAAGAGGCCCTATGGGACGTTTCTGTTCTGGAGGAAACCGAGTAACTGCCACAGATACACCTCCTCCAGCAACAGCAACTTCATTCACTTTTCTTTCTTCCATCTCTTTTGGCAGAACTGCATCTTCCCCATCTACTCTCGATTGCTTGGGCAATGTTATGAATGGTGGTATAGAAGGGGCATGCTGAAAGGAGGCCAAGCGAACAACCTAAAAGAGGAGAATCATTCATTTATCAGGATAAATTGGGACATGATACTTGATTGTCATCATTGCAAGTAAACAACTTGACACTTCTGCCAAACTGTGATGTTGAAGCAAAATAATAAACTAACAAGAAAAAATTAAAGTTCATCACATCAGCATGTCAAAATGGATATTTTAAATTGACTATTTCAAGTTTGAACCTTGTTTTCCAATTTGAGTTGGATGACTAACTACAATGATTCAATGTCATAGAAATGACTACGTGTTCACAAAGGATGAAGAAATTTTTGGGATCTTTGTGACTACCCATTCTTTGAAGACACAACAAAGGTGAAGTAAAGAATGAACATGAAAGATAAGATTGTTACTCTGTAAGCAGCATCAAATTCTCCAAGACAGATAAAACAAACACAATAAGAAAGAAAAGAAACATATGTCATGAATACGAGAATATATTTCGTGCCCATGTCATTCATCTTTAAAGAGATGATTTTATATATGCCGTGCAAAAAATGCAAAATTGCAATTGCCATGGTTGTCCTCTACATTTTATATACCCCTTCAAAGGTGGTCTTTTTCCATGTATGCCTACTTGGTGAAATTTTGAAAGAATGTTCATCAAATTTGTGAACTTTAGATGGGTATTACGATATTTGCAAGGGCATCATGAAAGTTTGTGAACTTTTAGTGGGTAAGTGCTCTTTGCAACTGTCGAAAAGTTCCTGTGGAATCACAAGTAAAGATGTATATGAATAACTACAAAATAAAAATGATGCATTGTATCACTGTTGGAAAACACTTATTATATCATGTTTAAACTTTATTTTTCAAAGACGAATTATCTAGAAACAGCAACTTGAACAATGGACCAAGGTCATCAAAGAGGTGCAATGGTGCAAAGACAACATTTGAAAAGAAAGCAACATAGATGAGGAAAGGAGGTTCCTCCCCCACCTAGCCTACAGAAAACAATGTTGTGTTCCTGTCATTTTCATTAATTTTATGCCAACTGAAAATGCAGTTGATGCTACAGTCATCAAGTCTTGCATATGAACCACTAGGTTGCAAGCCAACAGGTTATCACTGCCATTCCATGTCTGAGCAACAAAATACATGTCTGCATATATCATGCTAAAACTTCAAGTTTCTTGGGGCCTACCAGAAATGCAATCCTTTCTTAATGTTACATATAGCAACTGAAGAAGATATGAATGAGAAAAGCGCCTTCAAGCATAAATATCTATTTGTGGCACGCACCTGTACCAACCATTGTGGGACAGGTACAATATGTCCCACCAGAAGTCAGCTTTAATTGGATCAGAGACAAGGTAGAAAGGTGGGCATCATGAAACAGTTCAACTAAGTTCCACCAAGCACCAGTCACTCAGTCCAGCTTGACATACCACTCATCTCACTTTTTAATTATTTTTCCAAAGTATAGGGCAACACAGGTTGGTGAACTGTCTTGATCTCATAATAGTCCACCAGGTTATCAAAACCAGAATGGGAAGGTATATGAAACCTTGCCTCAAATATGCATTACTCAATGAGATGATTTTCGCTTTGTGGCTCTTCTGTTGCAAGTTGTTAAGCTTTTTTCATCATAGTTTGGTTTCTGAAGTGATATGTGACAATAGGATTTGGTCATAACATGGCTTGGGTAGACGATAAACTATCCCTAGTCCTCTGAAGAATGCTATAAAACAACAACAAAGTCATAAAGTCTCAAATATTTGGGGTCGACTACATAAATCTTTTGCCGCAATTAAGAGATATGTACAGATATCTTCAGTTAAGAGTATTTAAGTCTTTTTTTATAGTTTCCATTAATATCTTTTTAGGTTTTCTTCTACCTCTTCCCTCCTCATATCACTAATAATAATTATTTAATCTCTTCTAACTACCATATTTGTAGAACTTCTGAGTATATGCTTAGACCATCTAAAACGATTCTTCCTCATTTTCTTCTAATCTATAGGTCATCTGATCACATTTTCATACTATTTTAAACAATTCTTCCTCATTTTATCCTCCATCGAAATGATACTTTACGAATAAAAATATTTTTTTTATGTCCTTAACTCATCTCAATATTCACCTCAATATTCTCATCTCAACAACACAAACTTTTTGTATATATTTTTTTTTAACTATTTGACACTCAAATTCTTAAGTCTTGATGTCCCTCGTCATTTTACCTATTCTATTTTTAGTCTATGAATAATATCTTCATCAATCATTTATCTTCTTGAATAAATGATCCAAGATCCCTAAAACTATTACTTAATTAAACTTCTCATCATCCAACTTAACTATATCGTATGTCCTTCGATTCATTCATTCCTAATGTTACTAAAATTACATCATCTTAGTCCTATTTAATCTAAAACCTTGACTCAAGTTTAAAATCAATTCAATTTAGATTCTCAACAAAGTAAGAGATTAAGACAATATCATCAGTAAATAATATTAACGTACACAGTGATTTAAAAAACGCTAGGCGCTAGGCGCCAAAAAGCACCAAGGTCCAAAAATGCCCGAGGCGCTAGGCGCTCGCCCGAACGAAACGATGCGCTAAAATATAAAAATATATAATATAATTAATAAATATAATTATTTAAAATTTTAAATAAAAATATGCTATTAAATTAAGAAAATCTAAGATACAAAATCACAATGCCACATTAACAAAAAGTTTCAAATAAATAAAAATTAACAGTATTAAAATTAAAATAATATATTATTAATCTATTAACAGTATTGAAAATTAATCATTTCAAATAACTTAATAATATTAATAGTATATAGTATACATATACTGTTAAAAGGAAGTGTAAAGGGGTGCTGAGCCTACTGATTGAGAAAAGAGGAAGCGACGAGCGACGACAACGGCAGCGACGATAGCGACAGCGGCGAGCGACGACAGCGACGAGCGACGATAGCGACAGCGGCGAGCGACGACAGCGACGAGCGACGATAGCGGGAGCGGCGAGCAGCGGGAGGTGCGAGCGACGACAGCGGCAGCGTTTGCGAGCAGCGGCAGCGGGAGCAGGAGCGAGAGCGGGAGCGGCGAGCAGCGGGAGCGGCGAGCAGCGGGAGGCGCGAGCGGCCACAGCGGCAGCGTTTGCGAGCAGCGACAGCGGCGAGCGGCGACAACGACAGCGTTTGCGAGCAGCGACAACGGCAAGCAGCGGGATCGGGATCGACAGCGGCGAGGGTTAGGGTTCGATTGTCACTTATATCAGTTTTAGTTGGTTCGATTAAACCAACTAACCATCATAGACCGAACCAGGACCGAACCATACCTAAAATCCTGGTTCAGTCGTCTTGGTTAACCCGGGCGCTCGCCCGAAGCGCCCAGCGCCTAGGCTCGGGCGAGCGCCCAGGCGGCGCCTGTTTGAAGCGCGCCGCCTGGGAGATTAGCGAGGCGCTCCGGCCTCGCCTCGCCTTGCCCGAGCGGTTAGGCGAGCGCCCGAGCGCCTTTTAAAATCGCTGAACGTACATAAGGAATATTTACATGTAAATAACTAGTAAGTTCATCGTGAAAAAAGAGACTTAATATGAAACCTTGATGTAGTCGTATACTAATAGGAATCTCACCGGACAAATTATCTATAGTTCTAATACTAGTTACTACATTATTAAATATATCCTTTATTAATCACTAATCAATATGATTAGTGGATCACTTTTCTTTCCTAAAACTTACCATAATAAATCTCTAGGAATTCTATCATAGTCTTTCTCTAGATCAATAAAAACTATATACAAATCTTTCTTTTACTCTCTGTATTTTTTCAGTCATTGTCTTAATAAATAAATAGCTTTAATCATCTAGCATAAAAACCAAAATGATTTTAAAAAATATTTGCCTTAAATACTATCCTACTTTGGATTACTCTTTCCTAAAGTTTCATAATGTGTCTCATGATATTGTTACTAATTCTTGAGATGACACATTCCTTAGCTATAGAACCTTTATAGTATGACCTAGTTTAAGTTAGGGTAGCATTAGACGTCTAAGTTTCAACGTTTGGTTATTCTTCACCGTTAAAAAATACACTTTTGCCACTTGAAGAAAGGGACAACAAAAGTAACCGCCAAAGCAAGCAAAATAAACTTAAAATTTATAGCCAAAGCTTCAAAATTGAGATCTAAATAACAATTCTTGCCCAAGATTAAGATCTTTCAAGTTTCAATTTATTTCTGCATTCTTCCTGGTGAGTGATTAACTTACTGACATATATAATTTCAAATGGCTAGCATCTGTTGAGCATAAGAATAAGATGGACATATTATTTAATCTCACTACTCCAGTCATATCATTATAAATAAGAAAGCTGGTCCCATTTTGTCTCTGGAATAGCCCATTAATTAAAACCAACACCATAAGACAGTAGAGACGAACTCAATGACTATCTTACAACCTTATAACTTCATAGTGCAAACCTTCTTACTAAATGGGAGAAAATTTGACAAATTTCGATCAGGTATACATGCAGGTTTCTCACCCTAATCATTCCTGTCTTTAGTCTTTACCGTAAAAGTTGGCAATGGGTCAGGTTGAGATGGGGTAGTAAATAATTGATCATGTGTACCTAAGTAGCTTATTATACTTGGATCGTGATATAAATAGTTGTGCCTGAAATCAAATAATTATCACCTATCAATACTGGCAAATTTTGTATGTGTGGATAGCCTATTATGGATGACACATAAAAACTAAATATTGTAAATGTTCAAATCAACCAATATTTAAAGGAGAGGTAACACAGTAGTATGTTGACATTAGGCAACCAATGGCTATACTTTAAACCAGTTCTACAGTCAGTTGTAAACTTAATATATAATAAAACTTAATTGGATCACCTGAAGCATTGGAGGCCTTAGCGAGATTCTCTCACTCGTGGTCACCTGTGGGCTATCAACTGTGATGAGTGCCAACTCCCCATGCTCAGCAAACACCCTACTTTGAGTTTCTCGAGCTTTCGTTTCCTCTTTTTTTTTCTTGGTTTCCAGATCGATTGGTGCAACTCCAGCGTCTACAAACACACACCTATAAGACATAAAGCAATTAGCATTATAGAGGTAAAGGCATTGTAAATAATATATTTAGTGAAACCAATCATTCATCTTATTTACGCTTGAAAACATTATTATTGATTTGTATATGGTAGGTGACTGCTAAACTGAGAAAATCATCAAACAAGAGAAATACTGCTATAAGCTGCATGACATGTTAGATGCCCAAACAAGGACAAGTTTAGCTGAAGCTAAAGGAATTAAGAAAAACTAGATACCAAAAATTGTTGATATAGAAGATGATAAAAACAATATTGGTTCTGGCAATAATTAGAGCAAGTTTATCTTGGAGAATACGGCAATGAAGTGTGTACCAAGGATAAAACAAAGTAACACATGCTAAATTTTGTGTCAGTTGCTTAAAATCTTATCATTCTGTTTTTACAGAGTTTTGAATAATAATGCAGAAACAAAAACATATAGCACATTATACAAGCATCTGCGTAAGAATTTGTTAGCATTTGACAACATCAAACAAATTCCCAAAGATGCACCAATATTCAAGTTGTCAGATAAACTTTTTCAAAAAAATGGATTGATAACTAGATACCCATAATTGATAAACACAACAATGAGACCAATAAGCATTTGCTTTAATATTGCACTCTAGATCAGTTACTGCAGTAATAAAGAACACGATGCAATTAGATGGTGGGCCAACATGACAGGTATGTGGTCCATGATTCAGTAATGCAAGCCACAAATGCGACAGCAAGGAAAATGAAGTATGACTTGTTGTCATCAGAATGAAGATAAACAGGGTGCAGACTATTGTAGTAAAACAACAAAAAGGACCCCACACTGATGAGAGCCCCATACACCCTTTTTTATGTGTTTTTTAAATCTGCAGGAGCACATACATGCCACAGATGATATAGGTAGTTACTTTGTCTGAGTTACTACTTTCTGACTTCAAAATTTGGTTCACAGAAACAACAATGAAAGAAATTAAGTAGCTTCCCAACTTCTTTTGCAATTGGACTACTTTCAATCAAATTAACTTCAACATACAGACGCATCACAGAAAGGTACGAATTGAATGTCTTTTGTTCACCATGGAAAGAAACTTTGGCCAACATAGTACAAATCTTTGTTTTATCTAAGAAATAGACTCCTGTTTCATGATATTTAGACAGCATGAATACAGAACTTTGAATGGAGAACTTCCTAGTGCACCCGAGCTGGTCACTACAAGCAATTTTGTACGGTTATGGTTTTGTTTCTCCAGGGCACTCAATTAATGTAAGCATTGTCTGCTGCCACCACTGAAGCATGGGCACAGCAATTTTATGTCATGATGACTGTACATACAATGTCAACCAAAAATTTTAATCTTAATCTGGAACCAATTTCAGTAATATATTGATCTGATTAGCTACCGGCATAGAAGGGGGTACACTGACTCATATGCCCGGTACCAACCAAAAAAAGAATCAAAAGATTAATATCAATATGTATTGGACCATATGGTTGGACCAGTAGGTACTGGTCGCCATGCACTGTGCTTGAATCCATGGTGTCAAACACCATCCAAAGCACAGGAGTTGTGACCAGCACTTAAGTCCTTGACATACCCCATATGCATATGCGTCAGAACATGTTCGATGAAAACAAACTATATTGAGAAGTGATTTGTATCTTACTCGATTGTAGTTGGTGTAGCAACAAAAAGCTGCCTACGATGCCAAACAGCACCAGTAGCAAAAGAAATTGCCACATCTCCCAGATACCTATATTGAGGGCGCAAGGAAGATATAATAATGTACTGATGGTAAGCAAAAGCACAATACTCAACAGTTTGGTCCCATGCAGTCCACTCTGGCTGGGAGAGAAGACCGCTTACAGGCTGGTAGGTCTCCCAACTGCATTGTTTAAAATTTTAAATAATAATGAAGTCAACCATTGTCAACCATTAAACAAAAAGTATTAGTACAAACTACAGTTAAAACAAAGACTGTAATATACATATTATACAGCAATATACAACTGCAATTACTCAATTCAATAAACAAAAATACTGAGAAAAAAATATCAAGTGTGCAGGAAAACTCATGCCACCTGTACAGCTGGAAGTTTTGTGGTGCAGCTTCTGCAGCAGGTTTATTGGAAGAAAAAGGATCATCGGCTGCAGCAAAAGACGACATAGCTCCACTATTGCCAAAGCCCGATAAAGGCATTGACTGAATTGTTGAAATGGCAGTTGCAGCCACAGGGCTGATCCTCCGTGATGTTCGATATGCGACACCAAGTAATGCACCACCATGCAAGCCAATAACCTTCAGAGAAAGATTTTTGAGACTTGAGATTCTAACATCTAATGCTACCAACTGAAACAATTGTTTGGAACAAAATGCATTTGGAAAAGGTCAATCAGAATAAAAAAAAGTACAGTAACCATAGAGTTTAAGCAGACAAATTAAAACACTACATATAAGAGCTACTCATCAGCATGTTTGAATGAAGAGGAACTCAGTTGCCGTAACAGCAAAAGACAACATACTGGATCACTACGCCCTTCAATAGACCTTGCCATGACATGTGAAGTCCCATCATCCAGCAAAATACGCACTTGCACAGTTGCTGCAGAAGCTGCACTAGCAGCTGCAGCAGCAGCTTGAGCAGCTGCAGCAGCAGCTTCTTTTGCTTTTTTAGAAGAACCCCCTTTAATAAGTGGTATTCGAGGAGGCAAAGCAGTTTCCACTAAAGCATATCTGTCACGGCATGTATCCCAAGCAAAAAGCTTCCCGGTCCCTGAATCTACAACCGACCAATCACTGGCCTTGTACACATAAAACGAAGGAATATCGGGCCATACAATTGCAACATACCTAAATAGATAAAAAAAAAAGGAGAGGAAATATTAGTACAACAACATTGACAAGACAAACATGAATAAGAACCATAAGGTAGATTCTCCTATTTGGTGTGCAAACAATAATTGTGAATTTATTATATGTTAATATTTGTAATTGTAATTAGATTCATAACAGAGCATGGTACATTATCTTCTACAGACAAAAAAAATTAAGACATTGAAAATTTTGGAGGCACTTGGAAGTTATAGATAATTCTTACATTGTTCAAAATGCAAATGTAGGAGAAATCTCCTGACAGATTAGATATGAACAGGTTGCTCTTAAAACAGCATAATTTAAGCTACCAATGTATTTCAATTTGGAGGAAAACTTGAACTTTACAAGAAGATTTGTATAACATTGACCTTATTTCATGTAAACCTCCTACCTGATTAGATATGATCAGGCTATTCTTGGTCCTCTATTATTTAGGCCTTCCATCTTTCAAACTTGAGGGGTAGAGGAAGAACAGAAAAGTTATAAATGATAGAAAAAGCTTTGATGGCTCTCTGACTTATTTAAGACAAAAATAACTGGTTACAAAATACAAACAACAACAAGAAATTATACCCTTTTTAGAATCAGTTCTAGCCTTCTAGGACTATAAACTGGAGGCATTGTTTATGCTGAAAGCAGTGATTTAAAAAGCGCTAGGCGCCAAAAGGCGCCAGGCGCCAAAAGGTCCAAAAACGCCCGAGGCGCTAGGCGCTCGCCCGAGCGAAGCG